GGAAGATGCATCCCTCTTGTCAGGAGTTCCTCTCTACCATGGGGCTAGATAAGCATCTCTGTGGCACAAAGGTTGAAGCTTTAACAAAGTTGAAGTGTTCACATGTTCCGGATAGTGGCTTTTCCATGTAGTCCAGTATGCTTGTGTAAGTAGGTAGGGCTTTCTGTGAAAGCACAAACTGAGGTGGAAGAATTTCACAAAAGGAGTAGCTGTAGACTTTTTTTCTGGCTTGCTTCTGTCCTAGCCATTCACTTCTGAATAGCTCTTTCTAAAGCATTGGTCCTGATGTGTACAAAGGCAGCATGAGGCTAATGATCTGTTGTGTCCAGCAACATCCTCTTCCTGCTGCGGCATCTTAACACTGAGTGTTGTGTAGAGTTGTGGACAAGATGCATGGTTATTGCAGTCAAGGGATTCTAGCTAGGTCAAGACAGTATCTTGTATGCAAGTGAATAAGTACTGTCTTTGTAGCAATTATTTCTGTAGAAAAACTAAATCACTAATGTGACTTCCCACCGTCGATCCTCTCTGATTAGCAAACACCATCTGCTTTGTAACTTAAGAGTTAATGTGTCAAAGGCCAATTGATTTGTTTCCAGACATCTGTGAACTTTCTACAGAAACATCTAGGCCATTAATCCTTTCTTTATTAAAACTTAAATGCGTTGGCTGATCTGAACTTCCTTAGAGGAATAATTTTAATCCATATATTGGTTTTAGAGCTACATTAGGCCTGACTCTTCCATTTGTATAGCTTAGGTTATTTTTTTCTTGTCTCCTTAGTGCTGCTGAAGACAGTCTCGTTGCTTGCTGAGTTCTAAGACTGAATAGTTTGTACTGAAGTACCCCCACATTTATAGTTTGATGGAAATATTCATAGCTTTGAGACTGCCAGGAGAATTCTGCTGTCCCTTGATACGTTTGTATCTTGTAATCATTCAGCCTGTAATTTCACATTGATAGAGTAGCTGAACTTCAGTCTCATATATCATTTCTTCTCCTTGAGTTGGCTCCTGTGTCATAATTAAACAACTAATTTGATCCTGGCATAGAGTCAACGGGTGATCTAGGCAGCAATAATCCCCTGTCAAAAGCCAGGCTTTCTTAGTAAGAGTAGTCTTGTATGTTTTCAGCTGGAGATATAATACTAAATATAAAACTGTTCTGTGTAATGGACTATTGATATTGGGGCAATACCAGTTGCAGGAAAACTTACCTGGAATGAGAGTAATAGAAACTGTATGGGCAGATCTTAAAAGGTTAGAGAGGACGTGGCTCTTAAGCATGTATCTGAGTGCCTCTAAAATGCTAAGATTAGACCATTCAAAACAGTAAACTGGTGGTTGTGGAGCCTGCCCTTGTTTCTCAGAAATCAAAAAAGGATTACAAGTGTCTTCAGTGACTGATCTGCAAACGAGCTGTGTGGCATACCTTTGTTTGGTGTGCGTAAGCCTGTTGGGTAATGCTGGTCTTAAAAAGGGGTTGTTATCTTCCAATGAAGAGGTTACTATTGATCATTCTCAGTGCAAAAGTTCATGAAGCTGCATGAATTGTGTGTGCCTACTGATAGATGTAGGAGGAGGGAGCTCTAAAACAGGGAGCAATTTGGAAAGCTTTAGGGTTTGCTGTCTGACTCACAGCAATAAGTGTTCATTGTATCAACAGGCTTTTTCTTACGGATTAATGAATTTGGGATTAAGATCCTTGAATTGAGTTTCTTGGATGTGTTTCAGGGAGATGTATCAAACAGAGCTGTCTCGTCTGAGACTAGGTGGATTCTGGTAATTCTAGGTGCTTTCATGTTTTGCAACCCATGGGTTTGATGAAGGCTGAGCAGGTTCTTGTGAAGAGCCTGTGGACGTGCTGGCGTGACATAGAGAATGCTGGTGTTTCCTGCTGCTAGAGAAGAAGCTGTTTGGGTCCCATGTTGCTGTAGAAATGGCTTCTTGACTAAATTCTTTACCCAACTGTACCCAATTGCAGGGCAGTGACCTATGGCCTGTGCATTCTTTAAGCAGATCAGCTGAGCTGTGGGAGCACTCTAGTCATAACTTGCCTTTATCTGCTGAGTGGCCAAATAAATTACTATAAGTAAGAATAAGGCTTGTTAGCATAAAATTATTAACGTATATTATATTGTACCAGATATGGAAGGCTTCCCCTCTTTACAATAGCCTTGCATGAGGTTGGCTTTAACATTGCTGTCCTTCAGCTAATGTCTTCAGTGTTTCTAAAGAATCCAGGCATCCTTTGAACCCAGGCATCCAACAGTAACAGGATCCCTCTGCCTATGTTGCTTTAACCTCATGAGTGGTAAGTTGTCCAATCAAGAAATAACGAAGATAATATTTTTTAAATCTTTGAGGGAAGGGTAGTATTGGATACAGTTTGTGTCTGACTTACCATGAAGAGCCTGAAGCTAAACAGATCCTGACATCGTTAAGGGAAAATGCTTCTGAACTATGAGTGGAGTGCTTGATTGTTCTGAGAAGTGTCTGTCTTTGAAGTACACAGGTTTTTTTGAAGTACAGCTTCAGTACAAACTTAAGTTTGTGTGCTTTTCCTGGCTTTTCTGCGAAGAGGCATTTTTGTCTTGAATGCTGTGCAGAGTTTAGATAGCAGTAGTCTCCCTGGGGTGTCCTAACTGCTCAGTAATAACCTTATTGCCACAATGCAGGAACACCTTGTGGCAATGTCTCAGAGTGCTGGGCTGCAGGCAGCTTCTGTGGCTGGTGAAGTCACTACAGGCTGCAACTAACGCTGCACACAAGCCACGGCTTTACTCAAATGACTTATTCCCACTTGTGCCCTTTGTGGTAATTGCAGACTGTAGCAGTTAAATGAAGTGAATGTTTTTAACACAGTTAATTTTTGAGAGCTTGCTTAGTAGAGTTCTGGCTAGTGTCATGGGTAGAAGCTGGTTTTGTGGGATCCCAAGCTGCAACACTAATGGGTCATGTGAATGGGACGCTTCTCTAGTCATCTCACTTATCTGTAACGTGTACAAGAGTAGGTTGAAAAAGGGATTGTAAATCTTTTGTGAAACTTATGTTACTCAAGTTCACAACAATAAAAAGCTTTCTCAATCTTCAGGTGATCTTTTATTTAAAGGGCTCATTTTTATTTTTTTTTCCTCCTGACTTTTGAAGCTGCTTTGAGTTTGCACTATGCAGAGGTGTCACATCCTGCAAGGATCAGTTTCTACAAGCCCAAGACAAGTGGTTAGCTGGATGAAGATCTTATCAATATCTTTGCTGATGGGAACAAAAGTCCCATTACGTTAGAACTTCCCTGTGAGCGAAGCTCTTTAAAAGCAAACCATGCTTCAGTCTCCTGTGAAATTTGCTATTTCACATCAGTCTTCAAAGAAGATTTTCTTCGTTATGACTTTAAATATATTTCCCATTTTCTTAAGGTGTATCCCATCTTGTTTCAAAAGCCAAGATGTGCTTGCTTGTATTGTGCAGCCTTGAGTCCATTTTTGTAATGATGTTGCAATCCCAAAGTGATGCAGAGGGATCCAGTGTTCATTTTCAGTGTCAAAGGAAAATGAAGATTTGGACTTGTCAGCAGCATACAATTCCTTTTAGACTCAAAATCATGTGATGATTCTTTTCTCAAATGACCTCACAGAACATAAGTAGCAGCTTGCACAACAGAAGATGAGTGATTCAAGATGATGAGTTTGTATTCTCTGGTATCTGCCTTGTGATGCAGCTTGAGTTTATGGGGTGATGCAACAGAGCAGAATGAGTTTTGGGGTGGGTTTTCTTCTACAGGAGACTTTGTTCTGGAAAAGAAGCAACAAGCTTACAGGTGGTTTTACTCTGTTATATGAGATGCATATGCTAAAGACATGGAGATCTTGATTTTAAAGCCTTTTAGAAAAGATGCTGTGTTTCTGGTCTAGTCTGCATACACGCACTGGTGTGTGGGTGAATAAAGTGATAGGAGGGGCACTGCATACAATTTAGCAATTACAATGTCAGCAGGTCAGAGACTGGCCTCGTTTCCTGTACAACTATTAAAGCTGTACATTAGGTATCTAAAACTATATCCATTTTAAGGCCTTGTAAGTCAAAAAGGGGCTTTTACTTTCCAAAGTGAGCCACTCCTGGTTAGTTACAATAACTGAGACTTCGAATGCAAGATCTGACAGGAAATATATGGTCAAAGCAGTGGTAACTTATTTTTAGCTTAGCTTACAAAGGAAATAGTGCAATCCCTTAAGTCTCATGTGTCCTGTCCTCTTTGGCCATGTTGGATGGCTTCAAGCAAACTTAATAGTCTTGAAGAATGGCAGCTAGATGAAGCACACAAATTCCTGCCTTTCTGCAGGAAAGGTTTAGTTGTGCTTTGAGCTAACAGCTCGCTCTTGTCTGTTTTCTAGCAGGTAAGCACAAGGTGGTTCTTAGTGTAGTAGTAATGGGGGGAGGGAGCTATTAATACAGTTGTGGAGTGGCGCAGTGAGGGAGTAGAGCCATTGAGATGATATGAAGGGTGGGGGGAGATACAGTTCTGCTTGCGGAACAACTTGATTTTTTTTTTTTTTTTTTAAATTTATTAGTGGGGAGAGAGGGGTAATCCATTTTGGGGCCAGCAGAGTGCATGAGCTGAGTGAGACAAGGGACTCTCTAGTGGTATCTTACACTCTTCTCTCAAATTGTTTTCCGAACTGCTGCTGTTTGGCAAGTGTAACAGCACGATGAGCTTAAATGAGGTGGTTTTCTTTGTCTTGGAGGTGAGATGCTTAGCAACCAGGAATTCTATTTTTGTGAAAATGGATCTTTGCATGCAGTCAAAAATTCATGGTGTTAAGCAGTTTCCTTGTTTGTTGTTGCATTACAAAACTGCAAAGTAATAGGCTGCTATTGTGGGTCTGTTCTTAAGTCTATAGCATAGCTTCATTAAAGATAAAGACTTGTTTCATTTAACTCTTCTCCAGTGTTGGAATTGGAGTAACCTCTGAAGCAGGTCTATATAAACGTCTTAAGAGTACTTTCAGACTAGCATGCATCACAGAAGCAATTGCTTCTATTAAAACAACACACTGTATACGCTTTGTGTGCATAGGCTGCGCACATACAAGGAGGCTGCATTGTGAACTGTGATATTGCTATGAATCTGTCGTCTTGTCATGCAGCAGCACAACATTGGCAACTCTACTGTGAATCTGTTAGCTTGTGCTTTCAGAAGAAAGTTACTAAAGAATCATCCTCTTTTTCTCAAAGTAGTAGCGTTGTCTTAGAAACTGAACGTGCAAGTTGTCAGGCTGGCTGTGTGTTACTGTGTAAGGTACTGGTGTAGCTATAATTACCGAAGGGCATGCACAAGGCAAAGTTTGTTGCTATCTTTTCACCCTGACTAGTAGTTTGAGGGGTGGATATTGCTGCTTTAATCTTAATTTCCTTCATGTGCAAGACTGTTTTAAGTAACTTTTTCTTCTGTGTTTTTGTTCTTATTGGCAAAGTGAAACACCAGCTGGCTTGCGAGCGCTCTACAACCATTGCAGACAAACCTTGTCTTAAACTCAGCTAGTCTGAAATGTCTGATTTGTGTATGTTGTTCCTCTTGATGTAATAGAGGTATCTCGGATGTGTATAATTCTTTATGCAAAAGAAGGGTGACATTTGAGGCTTTACATATTGGCCAATATTATTAGTAATGATAAAAGTCAAACAATGTTCACGGCATGGTTAGAGCTGACTGTTTGCTTAAGCAATGAAACATATTGAGGAATACAGTCAGACTGATATCTAGCAGTTCTGGGGGATGAAAAGAGTAGGACTAGCCAGGTTTGAACACAGGATAACCTTCTAACTTGCCCTTTAGCCTGTCTTCAGAGCTGGTTATGGTATTTTACAGAGAGTCATTAATTGACTGCCTTGTCTATTGGCAATGTAGAGACCTCCAGACAACCTGCTCTTAAATCTAGTTCACTGTGCATAAGATAAAGCTCTGATAAGAGATCAGCACACTTGAATATGACCTTCTAAGGGTTGTTCTAATTGCTGTTTCAAGGCTGAATATGTTTAGGGACCTTGGGAAGATTTGCAGAGTTGCTGATGGAAAATAAAGCTTTCAAAAATCCAGCATGTTATCAGCTGTTGACTGCCTTATAGTGCTGTGATCCTAGATGTCTGTTTAAAATACTTGGTCATAGCTTATGAATTTCCTGAAGCTTAGTTTTGAACTTACTGGGATTTTATTAGAAGTCAGAAGCACTAATGAACAATCAGTGACTGAGCTACCGTGTTGTGCTTTCTGTGTTTCCAAGCATGCAGCTTGCATCACTGAAAATCTAAATGTTAAATATTTGCTTTCCTTCCTTAGGCCGGGTTGATGTCGACCATGCGATAACGAGGAAAATGCAGCTAATAGCAGAAGCTGAGGTAAATATACTCTAATGCTTGCTTGTGGGGACGAGTGGGATAATTCACCCTGAATGTCTTTTGGAGAGTCACTAGTCCTGGAACACAAATATCCCTCTTCAGTCATAACTTGAGTGCAGTGACTTCTAAACAGCCCTCTTTCTCTCCTCCTCCTCTTTTCTGATTTAGCACAAGAGAGGTAGTATTACCAAATGCAGGTCTGTCTTGACCCCAATAGGTTGAAGTCCAAAGATAAGAATGAACTTTGAGGCCTGTAAATAAAATGGAATTTCCCTCATCACTAACTTCTGGCAGTGTGACTATCAGCTAGCCTGCTTGCATATTTAGACTTTAAAATGCTCTGTCCTGTCATCCATTGAGTAAAGGGCAGTGTGTAGCCTGTATCCCACAGCTTCTGTTGCCCTGGCTATTGAGATGACCTTCCTAAGCCTTAGTCCCACTCTTACTGTCAGTGAGCAATATCCTCAAATAAAATAGCCCTGGGTGTTTCTGACATCATCTGCATCTGTGTGAGCTGCCATTGTTTTAGCTTACGTTAAGGTGATTTATGCCCAAATTAAATGACGTTAGCTAGCGATGAACTGCACCCTCCTTGCTAACCATTGTTTTGTAGCACGCATGTTCTTCGAGGCAAGTAGTGCTGCACTCTTGCTTCATTTTATTGCAGAGCGTTCCATCGTAAAGGTGAAGCAATGTAACTGTGCCACCCTTACATAAATATTAGGGAGTGGTTACTTATAAGACAGAGGAAAATACCTTGCACCTTTGAGATGTTTTCCTTTTAAAAGTCTCTTCTTGACCTCTATTGGTGGTATGTACTTTATAACAGATATAACTAAAGTGTATTTAAATGCCTTCTGCAAAGGGTGTACTGCTTTTTGTGATGAAACTCCTAAAATTCAGCATGTTAGAGGGATAGTCAGCTCTGAACTTTGTTTCATACGTTGGCTTCTCTGAATGACTCTTACTGAGGACGCGTTGTCTTCTCTGAATGACTCTTACTGAGGACATGATAGAGCAAGCCTCAATATCTCTTCTATGCAGACAAAACAGCCACTGCAAATAGCTAAGTTGGCAACAGATGCCTGCATGAGAAAGCCTTGACTGTTAAGCACATGTAGCTTTGTAAGTTCCAGGGAACATCAGTTGGTTGCAAGGGGACAACTTGATTTTGGATTTCTTTCTTCAGGAATGTCTCTTGTTTCTAAACTTTTTTTTTTTCTGGCCACTGGCTTTGTAACATGCTAGTTTGTAGAGGAAGTGATTTCTTATCTGGAAAGAGAATTGAAGAAAACCTGCAGTGGCACTTTAATTACTGGAGTTTCTCCCAAAACATGGGGAGTTCAGGTTTTAAACCCTGAGCTAGGCAGCTTGCAACTTTAAGGTGCCTCAAAGCTACAATAATAGCTATCAGGCTAAGTAAAAACCTCCATCTTACTGCAAAATTACTGAGAATTCCTAGAGTGCCTGCCCCTTTTATTGTGAGAACCACTGAACAAAGGCTTGGATTGCAGTTTACCTTTTAGGTGACGGGTATCTGAGGTCTAGACAGATGCTTAACTTCTAAAAAGTGCTGGTCACTGACAACTCTCACTGATTTAAATGCGATTTATAGGTGCTAGGTGTTTGTTATTCATGCATAGGATGCCTTCATGCATCTGCAGTCCAGTCTGAAAATTTAGTCCCTTTGTTCGTCCTAAACCGTGCTGAGGATGGTGTGTTCTCTCACTCGGTCAGGACTGGGTGTTGTCATGTTTCAGTGACTGAAATTGCTAAATCTGTTAGAATGAGTAAAATGCTGGGGACCTTTTGCAACTTTCTCTTTATAAGTAAGCTACAGGGTTGCTTCCCTCAACTTTCTCTGACTTCTCATCAATTATTGGCCAGCTTCTGCTTTTTATGGCATAGTGTTCTTTTTGTACCTGCCCCCCTTTTTGGTTTTGTAATGATCTGATTCTTTTGTTTAAAACATAATGGTGACAGCTGAGTGGATCTGCCCAGTTCTTTGTCTGAGACTTCAAGTACACTTTAGGAAACCCTTGGTTAAGTGCTCTCCATTGGGGGAAGCTGTATCTGAGCTCTGTCACAGTAAAGGCTGGTGGGAGGTGCATTGTCTTAAGTGATTTTTTTTTTTGTGACTGCGTGGAATTCACTTGGCTTATTGAGCACTAATAGTTACTCTGGCAATTGCTCAAGTAGGTTGCCCTTTGAATGGCAGTAGTAATAGTTGATAATATAGCACGATATGTTGTGCAGAATTACAATTACCGTAGAATCTATGCTCTGGTTGTATTTTACTTAATGAGACTCCACACCCTGCTCTCCCAATCCAAACACATGCATATGTTGGTATCTGCCCTGGAGGAGGCAATCTCAGCAGAGTGCTAACTAAGGGGAAGAGGTAGTTTTGTGAAATAATTTCAGTTAAACTCTTGCTGAGAGGGGATTAGGCTGAAAAAAGGAGAGACACTTTAAAAAAAAAGAAAAAAAAAAAAAAGACAGGGATTTGTTAGGAATGAATAGTGCTTTGTTTTGCATAGAAATTCGAGCACTCCAAGAAGAGGAGCAGGAATTTTTATTTGACTTTTTTGGTGGGGGTATGTGTATGCATGCTGTAAAAGCAGGCTATGCCAGAGAGCACTGTTGTCTTCTTTTACAGGCTGTAGTTCCAAAGGACTCGATTTTTTTTTTTTCTCCTGTTTTTAAAGGAACAAATCCACATGTCTTGCAGAGACAATCCTCTTGTCTGCCTCCCAGAAAAGCAGTATCTAAGACTAGCCAGCTCATTAAACATCGGTGAAGCTTGTTTATTCTATACTGGCAGCTGCCAAATAGGGGAAAAATGCGTTTATTAAGTTAAATATTAATCTGCTCCTTCTACTGCAGCTTCTGTTTCAAGAGATCTTTCTGGATCTGACCACTATGAAACAGGAGGAATGTAGGGTTGTGATGCATCTTGACTTCAGGGTCTCTGGGTTTATGTGGCCTCATTTCAGACTGTTGTGTATTTCCTGCTAGAGTTTTAAACTTGATTACTTGGCTGTAGTTGCATTAAACAGTAGCATTTTGTAAGAATACATCGTCTATTCATTTATTTTGTTAGCCTGCCAGAGCAAAGAGCTATCCAGAGCTCAGTGTAGCACCTTCAGCAGAAATAAGTAACTTTGAACACGTTATCATTCAGTTTCTTCTAAATGCATCTAGTTTTAAAAACTCTGTGTGGGGTGTGGGAGATCAGGTCTCTGAAAGTTCATGTTATGAGACTAAATAGGAGATCCAACTATATTGCAGGCAGGAAAATACAGGAATTAATAACATGTGCTAGTCTTCAGGCAAGACAAAAGGGATATGAAAACATCTTGGCATTTTACAATCTGCCTTTTGAAGATGAATTGTAGTCCTTGTCTGGGTAACTTATTATTGGGAGGGTTAAGTAATGTTTTCCTCTCTAGAAAGAAAACTCTTTCAGGTGAACCAAGCAGTCTTTGACCAGGGTGGCCTGTGCTTTATCCACAGCTGATTATCTCCTCTTTTTTGCACTGTATCAGTGCATTTTTCCAAGAAGATGGTAGAGAGGGGGGATGCTCATTGATGGTTTTTCATGCACCCTTAGAAGTCAAGGTCTCTCGTAAACCAGATGCTTCAGAAATTGCCTTTGTCTAATCAAATGAGAGTAGAAAAATACAAATAGGCTAAAAATGGTGCAACTTTGTCACAACAGGCTGCAATAGAGAAGATAACCTGCATAAAGCTGTCTGAAGAAAAGGGAATAGAAGAATCATCTAGGATATTTGATCCCCAGAATTCTTGAACTTTAGTCTTGCTGCCTACCAGTTTGGTCTTTCTCACTGCTCAGTCTTAATGCTTAGCAATGTTACCTTGTTTTGTTGCTTTAGTGAAAAATTTCTGTGATTTCAGTGGTATGCAAAAATTTTCATCCAAACAGTGGTAGCAGTGGAAGGATAAATCTGGTCCTTCTTCCTGCATTCACATTATTGAGATTGTTTCTGCATTAATGTATGAGAATGTCAATGGTGATTGCTTAGCCACAAGCATGAAAAGGTTGATTTTTCCCTCAGTGACACTAGATGGGCTAAGAAGTAAATTTGGTTGTACTTGTTTTGTATGCTAAGGTTGTAACTCTAGTTAAAATTGAGAAACGTTTTCTGGGGCTCATGTATTAAGTTTAGCTCAACCTTCTTGGCACCATAAAATGTGCAAAATACCTGCCACTCCAGACACACATAAGATCAGTATATTTACTTGCTTCTCTGCATTGCATCTGATAGAGAAGATAAACATTATTCAAAGTCCTCTGGCCCGAGTTGTGTGAACAGGTCAGGATAAGCTCCTGATCTTGTCTAAGTTGGCTCCAACTGTTGGCAGATGGTACAGGAATGTTTCCTTGATGCCTTGCTCTGTCCTGTTCCGGGATAAAAAGGAGTATAAATATTAAAAAGTATCCAGAGTGTTAAATAATTTTCTGCTCTGTTTTTTACTCTATCAGCAATTGAAGCCAGCTTTCATGAAGGAAGTGGACAGTCACTTCACAGAGTTTGTGAACAGTTTGGCAGCAAAATCAGTATTCCTGGACTCCTCATCTTCAGCCTCCCCCTTCCCAGCTTCATGCTCAGAGAAGGAACTGCACAAAGCCAAGTAAGTCAGTTTTAAGCTTGCCCCTATAACAAGGTTATATCTCATTTCTTGTCTCAAATGTTCTCCTCTTTGTTTGCAGGAACTTGAGGGCTCCTCCAGAACATGGGAAGATCTTTACTGCCAGAAGGTCCCTCTTGGAGTGAGTAACTTTACATTTTCTGTTAAATTGACTGAAAATACCCTTGATGGCAAACTAACTAGCCTTTGCTTTGAGGTGCTCTCCCCACCACCACCTGGGGTCTTACGTTCAAACCTCAGTGGACTAATCTGTTTAAGCTTCTCTGTTTCTTTCTAAAACATCTCTACTAAAGCTTGCAAGCTTCCAGAGTGTAAACTTTAATTACAGTCCTCTCAGTACCACTAAGATAATGGCTAATCATCCTTTGTCTGAGGATAAATTGAGGAAGTGTCTGTGTAGACTGGCACCCAAATTGTGCATTAACTTCAGCCTTTGAATTGGGATGGTGGTGATGTCATCTTACCTTACTGGAAAAGGCTTTGAAAGCTAAGGTACTAGAGGTGTGATGTGCTACGTGAATGGCCTGATAGCATTTGAATCTCTCCCTTAGTGAGCTGTTTGAAGTGAGTCACATCAGGACGATCTACCACATGTTCATCGCTCTTCTCATCGTCTTCATCCTCAGCACACTTTTAGTAGACTTCATTGATGAAGGAAGGTAAGAAAGCTGTGGAAAGACAGCGACCAGGGCTGGGAAATGCTCGCTTCCGAAGCACCAGGGGTACATGAAGCTGCAGAATGGTGCAGAAAGAAGGGTGAATCCTTCCTTGGGATGTTGTTGGAAGAGGGGGGTTTTCAACTTGACATACTTAAATTACATGCTGGAATTCCTGTTGAGGATAGATGGTCATTTCAAACCAGATAGCTAGATGTTAGGAAAATCCTACAGATCAGTGTCTTCTGTGTGAATTACAGCTAGCACAGTTCAGCCTAGTGTGCTTAGTTCATCACGAGGCTGGCAAAAGGGAGGGGTCATCACTAAATGTGGACTGCTCTAGTTGGATATGTTTAATGGAACAGTAGCTTTCAGCTGCTTGTGTTGCTTGAAGGAGGACTGTGTTTAGAAAAACTTGAAACGCTTCCGCAGTCCTTCCTCTGTTTAAAAATGACAGTTCTGGAACACTGTACTTGTGCTTAAATAAAAATAGAACTTTTTGTTTTTCCTGGGGAAAAAAAATGTCAAGGATATTGGCACAGCCTCTGTTAAGATTGTGCTTTGCGGGTAGCCAGCTCTGAACAAGATTGTGAAAGACTGCTTTCCTCACACTTGCTTGTTGCTTTAAATAGTATCTTTTTGGCAAGCTGTATCCCATGTACACAAGTAGGATTATGTGTTTATCTTGCTGGTTGTCTGTACAAAACCTGAGCTGTATCTTGATTATAATCATTGTCCGTATTGTCTAGGTATGAGAACAGGCTTGTGCACTATTGAATATTATTTAGCTGATCCTAACTTAATAGTGTATGGATATTGGGGCAGAGCAGGTGTTTACCTCCAAAATCAACTAATAGGGCTGAATTCTCTGATTACTTAAAAAAAAAAAAAAAATAATTGCTGTGTTCTCAGCTAGATCTGATAATTTGGATCCAGTTTGCAGTTGAGCCTCCACATGAGAACAAATAAATTGTGTTGGTATACTTGGTGCTACCTTCTCCTTTGACCTTGGTTTAGAAGAGCTGCTTATGTGTGTAGGAGTAGGCTCTGGTGACTTTCATAGCCAGTAAGGCTGAATGTCCTTTTGTTTATGTTTTAAGCTTCATTAGTGAAATAAAGTACCTGGTGCACACCACATGGGCATATTTGGACTGAGCATCTAATGACCCTAAGCCTTTTGGGTGATGTCTAAACTGAATGCATGTGGAATGCCTGCAGTTTTCACAAAGGATAATTAGATGAGGTTTGAGTGCTAGATGTTAAAATACCTCATGCTATAGAGGTGGGGAAAAACTCCTGGAAAGAACTGAATCTTAATATAATAGTGATGATGTCTTGGGAGTGTTCCCCAAAAGCTCTTTTGGACACTGGTTCAGC